GTCTCCCACCCCTGTCACCACCAGCTCTGGGAAGGAAGTTATCTGTATTGCAATTAGTCTGGCACCGATGGTACCACCTGCTACTGCAAGTTCTTCAGTTTTGGATGGTACTCTAGCAATTCTGGTGCTTTAAAAGTTTGTGTTCTTTCTCATAGCATCTAGTGCCCACTCAGTTGATGCTAAGAGCAGAGTTGTACAATACCCCCAAGGACAGTCTCCTGACGGTCACTCTAGATGGCAGGGACTGGATCCATCAGTGCTCCCGAATGGGTGTGCCTGTGGCCTAGTGCTGATGGTGGCGTTCGCCCAAGACAACAGTTTACCCTTGGAGTCCCCAAAGATGACCAGGGCTAAAAGCAGTAGAGTATTTTTTCAGCTGTGCAATAGTTTCTGATACACTCCTTCCAAGTCTGATTTCCTGCCCCACTTTTAAAATGGCAAAAAAGGAGGAAAGCATAGTTGCTGGCAGCCTCAGAGTCTGCCGGTTCCCAGAGTTATTGAATATCCCTCCAACTGGACATCGTTCTGTTTCAAGGGGAGGCTACAGGAGGGGAACCAAGAGGAGTACTGATTAAATCAGAAGTACTTGAGGAAGTTTGGGAAGAGGCGAGGTGATATTTAAAAAATTACATGAGACAGTTAATGCGAAGTACTAAGTAATGAAAAAAATGTAGTCTTCCTTTCAGGTGTGTAACACTGCTATAAACTTGGTAATTTATGTATACGTTGGAGTATTTGGTCCATGAATGTAAAATGTAGAGACCTGTGGGTGAGGCAGGTACACCACGAATGCAGTGAAATGCTCTGACAAGCACCTCATTATTCCAAGGACTCAGCTGCGCCACGGGTTAAATCATGTCCTGAGTGAATAATCGTATGAATTGCATTCCTCTCGGCTCACTGTATTCCATTCACACTAACTTTCCGTTGCTTTTTCATACCTGCCAGCCTCATTTTTGGCTTTGTGCTTTCTGCCCAAGCTACCTGAGATGATCTCACGTTAGGCCCTTCTCTTCTGTGTCTGTGTAAATGCCACATCCCCAGTAGCCTCGGCTTCCCACTCAGTCTAAGTTGCCCTGTTAAATTCTCTCCTAGAGCCCTGCTTTTAGAACACTTACTGTAGCCTGTCACATTTTTGTTTATGTGTTTGCTTATTTATTTTCTCTTCCTCTAATGAGCATGAAGGCCTCCGGGCAGGCAAGAGCTTTGCACCCTCTTTGCCGCTTCCCCCAGCATCTAGTGCAGTGCTCAGCGCGCGAGAGGCATCCGGGAATATTTCCTGAGTACAGGGAAGGGTGCGTGGACGGAGGGCCGAATGGCCTCCGGAGACCCGCATGGAAAGACTGAGCATGGGTGTGGTCCTTGAATCTTTAGATTACTGTTATAAGATTATCAGTGGAAAGACAGAGGTGTGAACATTGCATGCTTTAAACTAATCCTAGGCAGCTTCAGTTAAACAAACGCATAGTAATTTATACTAACTGATTGGACAATTTAATTTCCATTTTTTAAACCAGGTATTAAATAGTTTCAGGTAAACTAATGAATGTCTCTTCATAGTGATTCATTTTTTTCTAAAATAAATAGAAGGCTTCTGTCTGGAAGATACAAACCTGACCTCTGGAACTTAGCAGACAAACACGGCTAAGAGTGTAGACATTTTCCCATTTCACTGGGGGTGAGAGGTGAATGGGAGACCAGTATTCCAATATATTGGTTGAATCATGTATAAAATAACTATTCTTTTTGATGACTTTTGTGCTAATTGGCATTTTTCAGTCTCTCAAGTATTAAGTATCTAAACGTCATTTTCCTAAACACTGAAATGGAATTGCCCAACACTAACCATCCTCTCTGTTCCCACCTGCACTATATATAAATAGTTGCAGGTAACATGGAGAAATGGGGATTTGTAGCAGATTTGCTTTCTTTGTTTTTGTTGCGTGTACCTCAGAGCTACCACTTCCTAGAGAAATAAAAACCTAGATATAATTATTTCTCTTCCTGGGCAAGTCTTTTAACCTGATCATTTAAAAAGTTGATACCAAAGGTCTTAAACAAATAATAAAATTATCTTTCTGTCAAAAGAATCTCTACTCATACTGTTGAGTAAGAGGAGTTGCCAAAAGGATTTGGCTTTGTTAAGTATTATTTTTTCGAATTTCAGTGCTTTTGTTTCTAAAATTCAGATGTGGTTTAGGAATTACAAATCCTGGTTATTGTCAACAAAATGTCAATTTTCGTGCATAGACAAGCTTAGCCAGTGCTTGTGAAACTTTTTAAGTGTTTGTAAATCAAGGAAAATATATTTACTGCAGGTTTTACCCCTATTTTTAAGCTAACTGTTTTAAAATTGATGTTTTAAGATTTAATTTTGAAAATGACTGTGATATATCCTTGTGTTAATTTTTTTGAATCCTGTTTTGATTCTGAGACAGTAAAATTTATTTCTGACTTCAAAATTTGGTTGTAAATCAGAATTTCCTCCCAATTTTCTCTAGGGTTTCATCAGAATGTTTAGTGTGGGATACCTGATCCAGTGCTGCCTCCGAATTCCCTCTGCCTTTAGGCACCTGTTTACACAGCCATCCCGGCTACTTTCTCTCTTCTACAATAAAGAAAATTTTCAGCTTGGAGCTTTTCTGGGCTCTTTTGTTAGTATATACAAGGTAAGGCTTCCAGAGGAGGAAAGAAGAATGGGAAATAACTAACATGGCTATTGTTAGAATGTGCCCCTGTGGCCTTAACTCATCTATCACTTTTTAAAATGCTTCTTTCTGTAGCATTGTTGTATGTATATAATATATTGGGAATTAAAGCAGGGGAAATTTCTTCTTTTAATATGCTTGAAAGTACAGACATACTTGCGTTTATATATAATATTAAAGATTTTCAACTCACATTCTTTTCTTCAATAACAGGCACTGAGAAAATACAAACTTTCTCCTATTTCTAACAGCAAAAGCGATATTAATACACATGGTCTATTGTTTTTCTTAATTATACTTACTGCCTGGTTTTAATTTAAACATATTTCAGACTCTTCTAGCTGATGACAACACTTGGTAGAAATCAGTATGATTTTCTGTTGTAACTTAAATATACGCAATAACTTACTTTCCCTCTTCTGCTCACTATTCCTACTGCACTCCCTCAGATAGCCAGAGGGAACATCTTACGCCCCTTTCTGCATGTTCCTGTAAATATGTCCATATGTATGTAAGCACACGCCTAAACACACATGTAGGGATCGTTCACGACACAGGAACTTTAAATATTGGCCTTTGGTTTAATGGGAATTACTAATATGTAAATAATATTACTAAGACATTATTAAACAGCTAAAATTTAAATATAGATTCTAAGTAAACATGATAGCTAAGGGTGATCTCTACGCATAAACACACAGACACACGTTAAACTCAAAATTATTGCTGGAAAAAATGAATTTTGGCATTATTTTGGGTAAGATGGTTAGGGACCATTTTATGTACAAGTTTACTTATAAAAGGTAGACATTCACATTCCGTTTCATTTCTAACTTTATAGTGCTTGTATTTATTCTTCATATAAATCTTAAGTATTGACAGGTAGACCATGTCCGACACGTTTTGCTCATGTTGGTTATTCTCTGCCATCTCGCATATCTCAGAGCATGTTTTTGTTTTTTGTTTTGTTTAGTTTATTTCTGTTACTATTTATGTGCTTAGGTAATACAAGCTAGTGATATTAAACTAAGGAAAATAGAACTACAGAAAATCTCTTATAGAAAATATTCCTACAGTATATTCCAAAACTATGTAATTTAAAAGAAGTTATCAGTGCCTTTAATCAGGGGAAGGACAAACAAACCATATTTCTTCTGTGTCTTGGTGAACTGACCCTTTTTTCATTTTGTAATGTTCTTCTTTATCCCTGGTAATAATCCCTGTTCTGAAGTCTCCTGTGTCTGATAATAATATAACTACTCCAACTTTCTTTTGATTATATTCGATAGTATATTGTTCCCATCCTTTTACTTGAATTTTTCTGTCCAGTTTAAAGGTTGGTTTCTTTTAGACCACAAATAGTTGGTTCTTTCTCTTTTCTCCAATTTGATAATCTCTCTCTCTTCAATTAGTATGTTTAGACTGTTTATACTTAATGCATTTATTTCTTATGGGTGGGTTTAAATTTACCTTTTTGCTATTTGTTTTGAATTTGTTCCATTTTTTATTTTGTTCCTTTTTCTCTTTTTTCTCTTGCTATCTCCTGGATTTTTAAAAATATATTTCAGTTTTTTAAATTAATTTTTTTGTATTTATTCTGTCTTCACTGTAAGCTTATTATTTATACTTCTTTTTAAAATTTAGTGATTGCCTTAACATTTATGATGAACGTTTTCATATAATATTGTACTACTTCATTATAGTGTAAGAATATTTCAACACTATAATTCTAATTTCTCCTTTCCATTTTTTTGTGTTATACATTTATCTTTTCATATGTTATAAACCCCACAATACATTGTTACTATTTTCGTTTTGATCAGGAGTCAGAAAACTTTTTCTGTAAAGGGCCAGATAATAAACATGTTAAGTTTTGCAGACCATATCATCTCTGTCACAACTACTCACCTCTGTTTTGTGTGAAAACAGCCATAGACAATATATAAATGAATGAGCGTGGTGGTATTCTAATAAAACTTTATCACACTGTAATTAGAATTTTGTATAATTTTTACATCACAAAATATAATTTTTGTATTTATTTTTATCCATTCACAAGTGTAAAAACATTCTTAGCTTGCGAGCCATATAAAAACAGATCACAGGGCAGATTTGGCTAGTGAGCCACAGTTTTCTGATCACTGCTTTAGACAGTTAATTCAGTTTTGCAGCAGTTAAAAATTTGCCTTCATTTTACCATTCCCAGAGCTCTTCATTTCTTTTTACAGATCTAATTTTTTATCTAGTATCATATTCTTTCTGTATGCAGAACTACCTTTAACATTTCTGGTAGTACAGGTCTGAGGTGATGACTTTTCTCAGCTTTTGCCTATCTGAGAAAGTCTTTATTTCACCTTTAGGTTGAAAAACATCTCTGGGTTTAGAATTCTGGCTTGACAGATTTATAGTTTATCCATCTTTTTCTCTTTGTTAGAGTGGGAATGATAGCTATTCCCAGCATTCTACATGTAGGCAAAAGTAGTCTGTGGGTTCATTTTGAAAAATCATTACAATAAAAATATTATGGATAATTTCTTAACAGAGTGTATCCAAAACAGTAACTTTATCACAGGTTATTGTTTATAATTATCCCAATCATGTATTTGGTTTGATTTAGATAAGATCACCAATTAGCCTCCAAGGTCAGAATAGTGACACACTCATTACATATGTTACATGCATTTTTTTTTTTCTAGAAATGAAACAACTGAAGTCACTGTATTTTATTCTTGATACAGGGTACTAGTTGCTTCCTGCGCTGGGTCAGAAACCTGGATGATGAACTGCATGCTATTATAGCTGGTAAAGCAATGATTAAAAAAGAATTATTATTGTATCAATCATTGGTAGGAATGAATCAGAAATAGTTTCCAAATTTGTCTGATTTTTTTGTATCTTCTTTTCTCTGTAATAGAATCCCTATTGAGGCACTAGTCCAAACATTTTGTATTTGTGAAGTTTAACATATCAAGGCACTCTTGCCATCTGGTGTTTTGAGTTGAAAATATAATGACTTGGGTATCTGCCCTCCTACAGGCCAGAAATCCTAGGGAATATGTCACAAAAGAACATGAAGTCTTAAAGTATAAAAATGATTATGGCACTATATTAAGTGCAATTAGATTTTTTAAAATATTCTATTTTTACCCCCTGGTAAGTGATATATATTTTAATAATTTTATTACTTTTTAGAAATGTAAATAGTTTTATAAAAACTGAAGAAATTTTTTTGCAAGTTCATTATATATACTACCTAAGTTGGATAGACAATTTTTCATATTTATTGATAATTTTCCTACTATTAGTATTCCAGGCCTCCTCCCACCTTGGTTTTCCACTTATAGAATGAAAGCAGTGATATGGAAAGAAGTGTGATGATAGCACTAAAAATAAATTGACCTGTTAGGAGAATAGATGATTATTTTCACTTAAAATTAGAAATAATACCAATAGCCTTTAAATATTATTTTTGAAAATTATTGTTTGGCAAGACCACCACTGTCTTTAAAGTTAAATTTAGAATGTGAAGTTTCTTGTAATGTGTGTATCAGGACTGTGTGTTCCTAACTCTAAAGGTCAATTTTCTTTATTAAAAAATGTGATAATAAGAACTCACCCATTTTAATGTCATTAAGTATATTACTGCCTTTGATTTTGATGTAACAAAACACAGTGTGCTATAAATCAGTTCTTTCCTATTTAAGTGAATTTACATTTCCAAATGATTTAATAATGAAGAAATACCTCAAGGACTGATGAGTTTTGCCTTATTTGTTTCAGGATTTTTGGCAGGAGTATCAATGATGTTTTATAAAAGCACAACAATTTCCATGTATTTAGCTTCCAAATTGGTGGAGGTAAGCAAACATTTTTATCCATGTGCAGTTCCAAAGGGTATACAGCCTTTAAGTTGCTTTAGCTACAAATATATATCCTAATTTTTAAAGTGAATTCTAATCCTATAAAAGTATTTACAAAGTCAGTTTCCTTATTTCGTCTTCTTTCTTTGTGTTATTTTTAAGTATACACAAATGGAGAAAGAATGATGTAATTAACCCTCACGCACCCATTACACAGCTTCAACAGTTAAACCATTTGGCCAATCTCATTTCATCTATACCATCCCAACCTCTCAAGTACTGATTTATTTTAAAGCAAATCCCAGACATAGTATCACTTCATCCATAAACAACTCAGGATAAAGACTCCTTTAAATCAATCAACCAATCAATCAATCAATCCACCAAAATATAATCACAATACCATTATAATACATTAAGAAAAACCTAGTAATTCTTTATTATCATATATCCAGTTAGAACTTACATCTTCACTCATTGTCTCACAGAAGTCGTTTTGCAATGCCCTTGTTTTAATCAGGACCCGAAGTCTCTTTTATAAGTTACCCATCCCTCCTTTTCACTCTTGCCATCTATTTGGAGATACAGGTAGGTAGTTCTGTGGAATTTTCTGCATTCTGGGTTTTGCCAATGGCCTCCTCACTGGCGGTGTTAACATGTTTCTTTCACTCTGTGGTTCCTGTAAACTAAGATCGAGAGGCTTAAGCAAGTTAGGTTTCCATTTTTTAAGGGGAGGGGGCATGCTGCAGAAATGCTCCCTCGTGACTGTGTGGGTTCCTGTCGCATCACATCAGGAAGACGAAAACGACTGCTTTCCTTTTCATGGTGCTGAGATGGGTCAGTGGGTTCTGGTGCTAGAGCCAGTGTAAAGTTCCCCATTAGCCTTTTACCTAATTTTTTTATCAGCTATTAATGATCATTATCAGGAATTATTTCACTGAGGCTGACAAAATGGTCATAATCTAATATTAACATTTTTTCTGCACTTATTAGTGGGAATTTTTCTGAAAAGAAAGTTCCCTTTTCTACTATTTGGTTACCCTGAAATAGTTTGTTCTCAAGGTCATAATAAAATGCTTGATTGTCTCTCTTTATTTATCAGTGTTCAGAATAAGTTAGTCCCTAGCATCCTGCAAAGGTGACCTGTGAGGTTTTTCCCCCAAGTGTCATATGAAGTCATGGATTTTAACATATTTGAATTGTTTCAACTCACTGTAATCATTGTGCTCAAATGCCCCTTCTTTGCTGTGAGAACCTCTTAAAGTTGACTCTTGTTTCTTTTTGGCCTAATAGCAGTATCTTTGATAGCTTTCTTGCTTTGTGGTAAAATGAGATATGCCAGGCTCATCTGGGACATTTCCTGCCCCAGATATACAATCAGTCAGCATTTTCTCCAGCAGCCCCTAGTTTCTGTTGGTAGAAAATGGCATATAGAGACTTCTGTGGGGTGCTAGAGGTTTTTTTGCTCCCAGTCTAGTCATTGTTTCTTGGCTTTTCCAGTGAACAGAGCTAGGGAACCCTACCCCCCACCCCTTCTCTCTCTTTTTAGAGAAAGAAAATAATTAAGGGCATATTGATATTTCCCATTCAGAGTTAACATTATACATTTTATTTAAATTGTTTGATTTTTTAAAATTGTATCTCACTAAAAATTTGTGTCCCTAATGACATTTAGAGAATTACATATTTGCTTTATCCAAGAGTGTGTGTGTGTGTGTGTGTGTGTGTGTGTGTGTGTGTGTGAGAGAGAGAGAGAGAGAGAGAGAGAGAGAGAGAGAGAGAGAGAGAGATTTTTCCTCAGTGTAGTCCATGCAGTTTGAAGCCATTGGAATGTTTTAAGCATGTAAATAACATGATTTAATTCACATTTTAAGGAGAACATTCTGGCTATTATATAGAGAATGAGTTAGAGACAAGACTGGAAGCTAGGAAAGCAGCCTCAGGCAGGAGGTGGTGGCTTGTGTGAGGACAGTAGCAGAAGAAATGGAGGGAAGTGCACAGATTTAGCGTGTTTAGGAAATAGAGTTGACAGGACTTGCTAATGGAGAAGAAAAGGGGAATGAGAGAAATAAAATAACCCTTAGGTAGCAAAAATGTATTCTTTGACACTGGGGGAATCCATTCTTGAGATCTAGTTTGTAAAAGGTATGTTTTACAGCCGCTTCCCTAAATGGCTAGAGTTTTTAAGGCCAAACAATGGTATTGCTGCTCAGTTTTCTTGAATCAGTTTCTTGAGTCAACAGCCATATCTGATCTTGGCCAAAGAAACTGGTATATAAAGTGTGCTTATGGGAACTTTTTTAAATACAGGAAATTAGCAATTTAAACTTACCATGTCCTTTGTGGAATTAATTATTATGGTATGATTGGCAATCATTTTCCTATGATTGAAGTTAATTTTATATTGAAATACTGCATTGCTATATAATGAATATTAAATAAAAATTAACTGTATAGGCAACTTTTTTCTTGGAAAAACTTATTTTTAAGATATATTTATTGAGTATTATGTTCCCATTGCTGTGCTTGGTGCGGTTAAGCATATAGAAATGTTCCCTCCCTCCATCAACTTAGAATCTAGTTCAATAGGTATGTATTATTATAAGAAATAATTAGGAATATGGTTATTGCATATATCAAAAGATACCTGTTTCATGTAACATTTCTGTGATGCCATTCTACCACATCTCAATTTCATTTTCATCAACATGAATGTACTACAATATGTCTGTACTTTGTAATGTATTGTCATTATTACTTTCAAAATAATGGCCAATGTTTGTCTTGTTTCCTAAGTAGATTGATCTACTTAGGATTCTAAGTAGATTGTAATTCTTTGCACATATCTTACATATTGAAGTTAATTGTATATTAAAATGTTGTATATTTAAATGAATAAGTTAAAAGTCAGCTGTATAGACCACTTTTTTGTGGAAAAAAAATAATTTTATGTTCTTTATCTTATGAACCGCTCATATCTTCTTGAACCTCCCTCCACCCCGTTGTAACACCATTGTCATTTAAGCTAGATTTACTTTAGTATTCCCATGTCTAGAAAACCAGTTTCCAGGAATTAGCCCATGTTCTCTCCTCATAAATTAACTGGCTGTTCCCCGTATATATCGTGTACTTGACCCCTGCTTGTTAGCCCTGCTTTTTCTCTTTCGTCTAGTTGTTGGTCCTATGCTTCTTATAAGGCAACACTATTAAAAGTGTGGGAAGCTGGCTGGTGTGGCTCAGGAGTTGAGCATCGACCTAGGATCCAGGAGATCCAGGTTCAATTCCCGGTCAGGGCACATGCCCGGGTTGCGGGTTCGATCCCCAGTTGGGGGTGTTCAGGAGGCAGCCGATCAATGACTCTCTCATCATTGATGTTTCAACTCTCCCTCTTCCTTTCCCTTCCCTCTCTGAAATCAATAAAAATATATTAAAAAAAAAAAGTGTGGGCAGTAGACTAGTACTAGTCCATGAACTGTTTCCAGTGATGACAAGCTAAGTAGAGACATTGAGAGTCAGCATTTGGAAACTTTTATAGCCACTTGACAGAGTAATTTGTCTTTTGAATATAATACTCAACATTCAGTTCAATTTTCTGTATTTTAAATTTATTTTCCCAGTAATTTGTTTTTATTATATTATAAAAGTATCAAGTCATGACAACTGGACATTTTTTAGTGGTTTTTTTGTTTGTTTGTTTGTCTCTTTGTTTTTAGTGCAAATGGTTGAGAAGCATTACTCAGATGTAGTCATTTCTGAAATTCTCCTTGATCCTAGACAGAGTAGTTGTTCTCTCCTCTGGGGAGCCAAAATATATTTATTTATTATAAATTTATAGACACATCAGTGAGGCTACAAGGTAACTGTATCTACCGATATAGATATCAGATCGTCTCATTAGAGTGCATTAGTTATTTCTGTTATGCAGTAAGCATTTTTAGTCATTATCAGATCCATAGCCCCTAGCATAGTACCCTGTGTATAGTTGAATGAACACCATTGAATATTTAATGTGTGAATGAATAGATCTAACAGAAAATGGAGGACCTGAGCATTGTGCAAAAAGCGCTGAAGAATAAATGACATAAAAGTAGAAATAAAGCGCCACTGAATTTTACAGAAAAGTATTATTACTGGTATCTGGGGTTGGGGTGAGGGAATGAGGGGGAAGGAAGGGCTAACTCTCAGTGCTGTTGTGGAAGATGCGGCCTATGAGTTGAGCCCTGAAAGAATTGTTAGGGCCCGGCCGGGCGTGGCTCAGCGGTTGAGCATCGACCTAGGATCCAGGCGATGGGGGTTCGATTCCTGGTCAGGGCACATGCCCGGGTTGCGGGCTGCAGCCGATCAATGACGCTCCTCTCATCATTGATGTTTCTATCTCTCTCTCGCTCCCTCTCCCTTCCTCTCTCTGAAATCAATAAAGATTTTTTTTTTAAAAAAAAAAAAAAGAATTGTTAGGATTTTGAAAAGTTAGAAAAAAAAGTTGTTGATGGAAAGCATAGTGCTTAACTACACTGTTAATACTATTTAAAGCTGTTTTCTTTATAAATCTTGCTTTATGCTTGTTTCGCAGACAATGTATTTCAAAGGCATTGAAGCAGGAAAGGTTCCCTATTTCCCCCATGCCGATACGATCATCTATTCCATCTCTACAGCAATTTGCTTCCAGGCAGTAAGTATAGCTTTTTGAAATGAAAAGTAGAATTATTTCTGTTTTTAATGTACATTGAACCAATGGGGGGAAAATAAAGGCCTAGGAACATTTTTCTTTATTATATTTTATGGTTTTTTTGTGTTGTTTTTTTAAAGCAAGATAGCTTCCAAGTTTCAAATCATTAAACATGTTAACTTAATGGGCCAGTTCATGTTTATGAGCACAACAATTTTTAGGTTTAAATAGAGTGCAATTTTTATAGGTAAATTATTACTTTGGAACCTTGGCTAGAATGGCCCAATTTAATTATACTTCTTTTAGAAAAAAAGATACCATAGTCATAAATAAGAATAATTGCATTTCTACAGTATTGCTCAGGCATTGAAGGCAGGGGCAAAAATCTCGCTTAATAGAAGCACTGTTCAATCTCTTTAAATCCTGTAATCATTATTGATGTTAATGGTTTTAGGGCTGTTGCAGAGTTTTGGGGACAGCTTTTATTTCCACTTTTTCACAGTAATGGTGCCAGCTTGATAAACTTACTATAACTAGTGAAGTGCCAACTATCTAATAGATATTCAGTAAATGCTTCCTGGTAATAATGGCTTAATTAATTCATTTATTATTTCCTAAGCAGTATTCCTGTTTGAAGGCATATTTACAAAGACTCTTGTTGATAGTTATCAGTTTAAACATAAATACATGTTTTTGTTTTTATTGTCATCACTGTCGTTTTTAAAATACCATAGGCAATAAAAATAGAGATAAAACTACTCTGTTGCCTAAGACCGCTGATAATCTTTGCTGTTTACTAAAAGAAATCTGAACCTGAGTACTCTGATCCTAGGCTGTCATGGAAGTTCAGAATTTGCGGCCATCTTACTGGAAGTTCCTGTTAAGGCTCACTAAGGGCAAGTAAGTGACTAAGATGTTTTAACTGGTCATAGAAACTAATCTAGATTTTTTCCCATAAGATTTTGAAGCTTTTGGTCTCTGAGGGAATGCTCTTTTATTGGTTAAGTAGGATGTCTGGATATAAATCAAACATGACCAACTTAAGAATAACATGGGGCATTCTTTTAATGATCCTTATTTTGACTACTTTTCCCCTATACTATTTTAGGTATTTTAAGTGTTCTAGATTAATGTTATGTTGATTTGCAAACAGCTAATTAGTTGCTACTTAACCTACATAAGCCTTACTTTTAAAATCTTTGACCTCTTCTTTCTGATTAAAAATATTAAACAAATTCATAAGAAACCATGCCTAAACAATGAACTGACTTCCATTTTGGAAAAATAATAGTATTCTTTTGCCTGGTATTATAAGCACACTTTCCTTTGTCTTTATTATCATATTCTTTGTTGCTGTTGTTAGCATTTCCTGATCTAAATCTAATTCTTTGGGAATAGCTTGACCTACTAGAAAGGCCGTGGGCTTTGGAGTGGGACAGACCTAGGTTTGTCAGCTCTGATATCTTTGACTGTGTCGCTGGTGGGAAAGTTGTTTACCCTTCTGAGCCTCAGTTTTTTTCTTTCTACCAAGAAATAATAATATATACTTTGTATGGTTGTGGGAAAATTGAGGTGTTTATAGTAGCACTTAGCACTTAGTAGATACTCAGTAAATTGTAGCTGCTATTAATATTACTGTCATTAACAGTAATAATAAACAATTAATTGTATGGGGCTTACTGTGTCCCAGACATGGTTTTAAGATACAAACACATGTACACATACAACATCCATATCCATCCATATGTGTTTAATCCTTAAAATAACTATAAATAGGTGCTACTTACCTCCCAATTTTACATATCTGAGATGCACTGAGAAGTTAAATAGCTTTCCAGAGCCTCATAGCTAATAAACGGTGGGTCTGGGGTATGAGCTAGGCAGCCTGACTTCAGAATTCTTTTTAGCCATGACACCATGTATCTGTACCCTTTTTATTATTATTATTTTTAATCATTTATTTCTTTGTCTTTTAGTTTTTCACATTAATGAGTTTAACCAGTTGATTATTTCAGAAGGAAACTCACTTTTGAAAGGAACTAAAAAGGCTCTTAGAATAATGATGGTGGCTAATGACTTGGAGCTAATTTCACTCTGCTGTCTTCTCCAGAGAGGAAATGCTTGTGTCAGGCAGAGACACAGGGTCCATCCTGCACATCTTTTAAAAATTTTGTATCTCTTAGGTTAGGTGACGGATAAAACGACGGTGTGTTTTAACTCTGTGATGTCTATTAGAAATTTGAAAACCTGTGTGCTGTTTACCTTTAAATTATTAAATATTTGTACATTGGTTGTGTTTTCCATTGTTTGTGAGACATTAAAATCACAAGAGAAATTACATTTCATACCTTTGCCTCATTGGTAAATGTTAGCTCATTTATTGTTTATTTAGTTTCTTTCGATTTCATTCATCAGAAAAGTTGTCATGAATGCATTTTTCTGTTTGATGTTATCTAGTAGGAAGGGATTGAAATAATGATGGTAACCTCTGGGGTTTCTGGCCTGGGGATTAGTATCTCTTTAAAGAAAGTATGGGATAGTGAATCTTGAGGAATATGATCAGAGTGACTTTTGAATCTGCCAGTGAGTCTTTGCCATATCAGCCTTTTCTCTTTTTCCATCTCATGAAAGATAAGTCAGGTAGAGTCAATCATCTCATTTTATAACCTCATTAAATACCTGTTTACTATGTCCTCTGTTTTACAGGTTTGCTGTCATGAACCGAAAAGTCCTTGATGTTTTTGGTACTGGTGCATCTAAACACTTTCAGGATTTTATCCCTAGGTTGGACCCAAGATACACAAGTGTAACACCAGAGTTGCCCATCGAGCTTTCTTGAAGATGACTGTAACTTATCAATGTGTCTTAACGTTCCATTACTTTATCCTGAAGAGTTAATTATGTCGAACACAAAGAAGGGGGCCTGAGCTTGAACTTCAGTGTTATTTCATGAGAGATGCTCTTTCTTGTTTGTTTTTCTTACCAATCAGAAATACAGAAGCTTTTTAGGAAGGTGTTGCTTAATAATTAAGCTCCCTCTGTAGCCAGAATCTGATTCTAGACCACTGCAGTGGGTGACATTATGATATACTATTGATTAAGTTATGTTCACAAGCAATATTAAATAACCTATGTAAAAATATAAGATATACTTAAAATTACTTTAAATGATGATTTTAGTTCATTCCAGTATAATTCTTGGTTAAAACTAAGAATATTCTTACATTTTAGGATACAAAGCTCACAGGTACATGGATTTGGTCTGTATTTTTTTTAAACTGTTCAATTGGTAACTTTGGTAGTGAAACATTATGGGTATGAAGTAACTCTTCACAGACAATGCTGCTTTAGTGTAGAGCAATGTAAGTGGTTTCTTACTTCAGGGATTCAGAGACGGGTCTCTTACTGTGGGATAAATGCCGTGGTGTCCATGTTCTTCTTCCAGCGACACCTTCATCTCTCTCCGTGATCAGCTGGGCTCTTTTGCAGCCCAGCGAACCGACGTCCTGACAGCAGGTTAGGTGCAAATGGAAATTGACATATCAGATAAAGCTGAAATGTATGTTTTAATCTTTTGCAGAAGTATTACACTTGAATATTTAAAGCAAATGAAGTTACTTTGAAACCTCTTGTAGGTTTATTATGTTTGTTTTCACTTATAAGGACTGAATTTTTCATAGCTAAGTTTGTAGGCCATTGTCGCTTTAGAAGGGATCAAAATTCTATGGAACAAAAATAGTTTTGGCAGGTTTGGCAGTTTTGTTTCAACTCTTTCATCTATATAATGGATGTTTTACAACTGAAAACAATATAAAAATCCAGGAGTTTTCAAAAGTTCATTATGTCACCAATTGCATTCAGGTTCTTTGGCCTCTTTTCAAGAAACCATTGTCACCATTTTTACTCCCTTTAGAATAAAGAAGTGACAGAATGTCACTGTTGATTCTGAGTTAGTTCAAGACACCTGTGATTGAAAATAGAATCATGCTTTAAGAGTTTTTCAGGGAAAAGTTATACTTTTCTAAGTTAATCAAAGGCTTAAATGGTTGTAATATGTACGGTTAATATAAGGATGATGGTATATTTTTAAATATAATTTTATTGCTGAAAAGTTTTGGGCAATTGTAAATTAATTATGCAGTGTAACTTGAGTTGTAACAAGAATTACAACTCAGACTTTAAAAATGCTTACTCCTCCATGTTCAGTTTCATCAAGCCTTGCATACTTCTGTTTACATGTCATCCTACCCGTGGTTGTTATGGCAAATTGAAACCCAACAAAAAGACAGACTCTGGTACTATGGTAACAGAGAGAGACACTTTAATTTGGTCAAAATTTACATTGCGATGAACTTTTAAAAAATGATTTGTCTTTTAGGCAATACTGCTAAAAGATCATTTTGGTTTCAGGCTTCAAAATTGATTAATAAATTAGGTTTTAAGTTTTCACTGGAATCAAAATGATGATTAGTACCGTGGTTACTTTTAGAAATGGAGTGTGACAGCCGGGGAGAAAGCCTGCTACCTGTACCTCATTTTCTCCACTTAGAAATTATGTTTATAGCATTGACCTGGCAGGTGAAAAGAAAAAACATTTTAATCCATGAGCTGTTGTTTTCATTGACATGAAAAGGCTATGATATCAAAAGACAAATTCTACTGAAGTTTGATGAAATTGGTAAAATTTTACTAGTTAAAAGGTGCATTTCTGTGATTTACTTTTTTTTTCTTTTACAAATGACAGTCATCTTTTATTTTATATAAAATGTAAAATGAAATAACCATCATGAAGCAGAATACAGTAATTAATGTATAGCTCGAATGGTTACTTAACTAATTTGCATGGGTGAACAGAGAAATCCAATTTGATTTCATTAGCACAGACTGCAAAGTGTGGTGGTTTGAGCAAACACGAAGCTGTTTTTGCGTTCCTGAAGACAATCAGAATGAATCTCTCTCTACCTCTGATTAATCAGGTATTGATTGACAACTGGCATCATAAATAAAGTCAAATAGATATCTCCATTCCAAAATATGTTTTTAGTCCATTTATACATGGAAGAAATTCTGCGTATGGTAAGATTCCAACAGAACTGATTGTATTAGTCATTAATATTCCCCCTTGGTGTTTCTTGCATCTTTACGTAGATTGAAAAACAGTGCATTGGGATAGTAGTATTATGGCGGTTTCAGTGCCAGTCCCTGTATTAATAAAATCCTAGAGTTAGTACCAACCAAGTAGAGACTGAAGTTACAAGATAACAAACTGTCTCAAACCTATTGGATTCTTACCAGTTTTACATCAGAGTTTAAGTCCATTTTATTACTCATTTCTGAAATAAAACCTTTGGTTCGGTTATCTTTTTCATCAATTCCACGGTTACTTCTGTAACTTTTTTCTTGATCTCTAAATATTGTCACTCAGTTGATGCCTAGTTTATTTTTTGCCTTCATTTGTTGTTTATTTAGTTATTTAATTTAAAATTTTATCTTTTTGTTCTTTGCTCTCAGTTTTTATAACTTACTTTTTTTCTAGAATGAGCATGTCTTTTGTGATGAAACCCAAACTGGTCCATTGTCACACAGTATTTTCTTGTTGAACTTGAGTATTGCCCCTTGTGGATTGTAGGCAAACATTTTACTTAGTTGTGAATGCTGACTGTATTGCTTCTGCATGTATTTTATCCCATCCCTGACTTTCTGAGTCCTTTGCCAACGCATAGTTAACGAAGATCAATTTCCATTGCCCTCAGGGAGCTTCACCCACTTGGTCATGTCTCTTCCTCGGGTTGCTAGTCCTCTAGGCAGGGCAGAGGGCGTGTGCCCACTGGGAGCAGTGCCCCGTGCTCTTGCTGCCTTTGAATCTGAGAAGCCCCCAAGTTCAGAGTCCTTGAACTCTCCCTGTGATTTATTTTCATTTGTATAAGTAGAAAGTAGTTTGACAGAGCAACAATATCATTCTTACACGGGTGGTGCTTTGTTCCACAAAGGTAAGTGTTCATTTCTGAGCTTTGACCTTGCTGAGATACCTGATAAACTGTATCTCCCCCAACACATTGATCTGTTGCTGACGACCTCCTCAATATTCATTTTCAGATAGAGAATTTTGATAACTGAAAATGAGTGACTAAGAGAAAAAACAATCAAAAATATAAGAACTGAATATTTTTTGTTGGACTGGGCAGAAACTGTGATGAGTAGTAAGGTTAGCTTAGTCGCAGACGCCCAGGAGCCTGTTCTTTCCATCGCTGCAGTTCTGTGCCTTCCCCTTGATAGCCTTTTCCTGTTGGTGCTTGAGCTGGCTTTGCATGTCCTTCTCTTGGAGTTAGCAAGGAAAGGGGTGTCAGCTGAGATCGGGGGGCTGGACTTGGATCCTGGGGCCGTGTCACACTTCCCTCAAGCTAGGATATGGGGGCCTCAGGGTGGAGGCCGTGTTTGTGTTTCGGGCTGCACCCTCAGGTGGCTGTGTAATAATAGCTCTGCAGTGTGAGAAGGGTAGCTACAGAGAAGTGAGACTGACGGCGATGGGTGACCTGTGGAAGCAGAGGGGCAGGAACTGGGCCATGATGTAGCGTGTGTCCTCGGACTGCCGCTGTGGCCAACAGGAATGTGTGCTTTTTACACTGAGAGAAAAGCAAGTGACTCGCAGTTGGAGGAAAGAATTAATATCTGCTAATCATTCTTTGCTCTTCGATGTGGCGCCTCTCTCTCTCTCCTTCCCCTCTGCGCCTCAGCTCTCTCCTCTCTGTTCCTTCCCAGCCGTGGAGTCTTTGGCCACTTGCCCTTCCCCACTTCTCGTCCCGCATCTTCTTGCCTTCCTTCAAGCTGCTGGGCATCCCAACTAACTGTGCTTCTGGGATGACAGCGCCCTTTGTCCCTGCGGCGCCAGCCTGCTGGTGGGGGCTCTGGAGGAAACAGCTCCAGGCTCAGTGCCTTTTGATATAACTTCATTTGTTAGGCAGCAAGGTCTGGAGGACAATTGCAGATTGTGCATACAGATGCGGAAAGATGTTCCTGTGTATGCGGGGCCTCTACATCCAGGACAGCCAGTCTCTTCCCAGCAACCCTGTAGCATCACCTGACTCTTGCTGTGGCTCTGAGGAAGGGACAGAACTCCTTTCCTATTTCTTATTGCTTTCTCCATTTTTTCCCCACCCCTCCCTTCTTCAAACATGCCCCAAGTGAAATCATGTATTGGGCTTTATCCTTTGTCCTTGCGTGCCTGTAAATCCTAGTAATCACACACACACACACACTCTGGTCTACAGCAGAGGCACCAGACAGGTGCAATTTGTACTTTTCCTCCAGCACACAAGCCACTGAGCTTGCCTGTTTACTGTTTTGTCCAGTTGGTTGCCCACCCCTGCCTTTCCCCCTCCAGAGCATAACATTCTAGTTTTGTCAGAAAACCCCAGGCTGTGGGCAGTAGGCAGTTCCCTGCTTTTGCCATACAACATGCCAGCCTCTGCATCCTCCATGGCGGGGCGGTGCAGGCCTCCACCTGTGGACCCCTGGGCCTGTACTGGCTGAAGTCACCCAGCGGCATTACTTTCCTCTGTCCCTTCATTTGGACCAGGCAATTGCTGAGCCCTGTTTCCTCAATGCCTATTAAACTTTTCTGTCATCAGTCAGCCCCTTAAATGAATTTTCTTTTCAGATTATTTTGGTCCCCAAGAGGGCCCTGCGGCTACACACAGGGACTGGAGCCAACGGTCTACAAAGGTTTAAAGCACGAAGTGATCCCATTGTTAGTCATTATGGGATGGGGTGCCAAGGGCATGGCTGAGAAGATATGGTAAACACTCCAAGTCTTCCCTCTTCCCTCCTAGTCTTCCCTTCCTAAGCCTGTGCTTTTCTACCACATCTTTGCCATTTGTTTCAGCAGTTAGAGTTCTCTAGGGGGAAAAAGAAATACAGGGTGGACCAAAGTAGGTGTACAGTTGTTCATATGGAAAATAATACGATAATTAATAATTACTGTGTCCTGTGTACCCACAACTGTGCGCCTACCCCCCCCCCCC